GCTTACTTGTGCTCTCTCTCTATCTCTTTGTCAAATAAATAAAATAAAATCTTTAAAATAAATAAATAAATAAATAAATAATAAATAAATGGCATCCAAATCGGCAAAGAAGAAGTCAAACTCCCACTTTTTGCAGATGATATGATACTTTATGTGGAAAACCCAAAAGACTCCACCCCAAAACTTCTAGAACTCATACAGGAATTCAGTAAAGTGGCAGATATAAAATCAATGCATGGAAATCAGTGGCATTTCTATACACCAACTACAAGACAGAAGAAAGAGAAATTAAGGAGTCGATCCCATTTACAATTGCACCCAAAACCATAAGATACCTAGGATAAATCTAACCAAAGAGGCAAAGATTCTGTACTCAGGAAACTATAAAATACTCATGAAAGTAATTGAGGAAGACACAAAGAAATGGAAAAACATTCCATGCTCGTGGATTGGAAGAACAAATATTGTGAAGATGTCAATGCTACCTATAGCAATCTACACATTTAAGGCAATCCCTATCAAAGTACCATCAACTTTTTTCAAAGAAATGGAACAAATAATCCTAAAATTTGTATGGAACCAGAAAAGACACCGAATAACCAGAGGAATGTTGATAAAGAAAAGCAAAGCTGGTGGCATCACAATTTTGGACTTCAAGCTCTATTACAAAGCTGTCATCATCAAGACAGTATGGTACTGGTACAAAAACAGACACATAGATCAATGGAACAGAATAGAGAGCCCAGAAATGGACCCTCAACTCTATGGTCCACTAATCTTTGACAAAGCAGGAAAGAATGTCCAATGGAAAAAAGACAATCGCTTCAACAAATGGTGTTGTGAAAATTGGACAGCCACATGCAGAAGCATGAAACTGGACCATTTCCTTACACCACACACAAAAATAGACTCCAAATGGTTGAAAGACCTAAATGTCAGACAGGAATCCATCAAAATCCTAGAGGAGAACACAGGCAGCAACCTCTTTGACCTCAGCCACAGCAACTTCTTCCTAGAAACATCACCAAAGGCAAGGGAAGCAAGGGCAAAAATGAACTATTGGGACTTTATCAAGATAAAACGCTCTTGCACAGCAAAAGAAACAGTCAACAAAACCAAAAGACAACTGACAGAATGGGAGAAGATATTTGCAAATGACATATCAGATAAAGGACTATTACCCAAAAATCTATAAAGAACTTATCAAACTCAACACCCAAAGAACAAATAATCCAATCAAGAAATAGGCAGACGACATGAACAGACATTTTTTCAAAGAAGACATCCAGATGGCCAACAGACACATGAAAAAGTGCTCAACATCACTCGGCATCAGGGAAATCCAAATCAAAACCTCAATGAGATACCACCTCACACCAGTCAGAATGGCTAAAATTAACAAGTCAGGAAAGGACAGATATTGGCGGGGATGTGGAGAAAGGGGAACCCTCCTACACTGTTGGTGGGAATGCGAGCTGGTGCTGCCACTCTGGAAAACAGTATGGAGTTTCCTCAAAAAGTTGACAATAGAGCTACCCTATGACCCAGCAATTGCACTACTGGGTATGTACCCCAAAGATACAAATGTAGGGATCCGAAGGGGTATGTGTATCCCAAAATTTATAGCAGCAATGTCCACAATAGCCAAACTGTGGAAAGAGCCAAGATGTCCATCGACAGATGAATGGATAAATAAGATGTGGTATATATATACAATGGAATATTATGCAGCCATCAAAAAAAACCCTGAAATCTTGCCATTTGCAACGACGTGGATGGAACTAGAGGGTATTATGCTAAGCGAAATAAGTCAATCAGAGAAAGATGTGTTTCACATGATCTCACTGATACGAGGAATTCTTATTCTCAGGAAACAAACTGAGGGTTGCTGGAGTGGTGGGGGGTGGGAGGGAAGGGATGGCTGGGTGATAGACATTGGGGAGGGTATGTGCTATGGTGAGTGCTGTGAATTGTGTAAGACTGTTGAATCACAGACCTGTACCCCTGAAACAAATAATACATTATATGTTAAAAAAAAAAAAGGTAGTAGGAAGGGGAAAATGAAGGGGGGAGAATCAGAGGGGGAGACGAACCATGAGAGACTATGGACTCTGAGAAACAAACTGAGGGTTCTAGAGGGGAGGGGTGTGGGGGGATGGGTTAGCCTGTGATGGGTATTAAGGAGGGCAAGTATTGAATGGAGCACTGGATGTTATATGCAAACAATGAATCATGGAACACTACATCAAATACTAATGTAATGTATGGTGATTAACATAACAATAAAATAAAATTTTTAAAAAAGTTAAAAAAATAAAGAATAAAATGCAAAAATAAATAATAAATTAAAAGGTAAAAAAAAATATTCACCAAAGAAACATGTTCCACCATGAATATGTATGTATTACAGCTGTTATAAATTTCCATAGTAGAGTTGGAAATAGTGAGTTGATTTCTATCTTCTTTCCTTCCTCCCTCCCTCTTCCTCACTCTTCTTCCTTCCTCCCTTCCTTTCCTTTTTCCTTTCCATTCCCTTCTGCTTCCTCCCCTCCTTCCTTCCTCCCTTTCTTTTCTTTTCTTTTCTTTCTTTCTTTTTCTCTCTCCTTCCCCCTTCCTTTCTTCCTTCCTCCCTTCTTTCTTTCCTTCCTTCCTTTCTTTCTCTCTCTTTTCTTCCTTCTTTCTCTCTCTTTCCTTCTCCTTCCTTCCTTCCTTCCTTCCTTCCTTCCTTCTTTTCTTCTTTCTTTCTTCCTCTCTCTCTCTCGCTCTGTCTCTCTCTCCTATACCTAGATGTGGGGTTTGTGTCCAGTTCCCCAACCTGGTGAAATATTATTTTGTCAAAGTAAGATACACAGTAGAGATACTATACTATGTCCAGTCTGGAATATACATCAGGTTACATGGAGCCAAAGTTAAAAATAGTTATTTGAGACATGACACTAAAATAGCCCACCCAAAAGCAGAAATACAAAATTAGACAATGGATGAACCTGGTGGATTCAACTTCATTTTGCAGTGAGTTGCTGTGGTCTTTGAATGGGTGAGCTAGACTGAGGTAGGCCTATCCAGGGGACCTCTGGGAGTGAGGACCTCATTCAGTGCATGATCCAGATCAGGTTTGTTGTGACCCCTAATGCTAAGTCTGCTCAGTTAGTTGTTGGCAAGAATTAACTGGAAGATTGGTTTAATACACCTATTAAGTTAAAAAGTATAATTATATGCAATTTAAAAACTCTCAAGGGTCTTTATGTTTATATTTTACAAATAAGGATTTTTTAAAATGTTACAGCCTTTAAATCCCTATCTGAACAAGCAGGTCATTCAGTGATTAGGCCTATTGTGTCCTTTATGTTAAGTGTTAGTGTGAAGCGGAATCTCACAGGTCACTAAAAATCCTGATTTCTTGACTGCCCCACCCCTCCATGTCCTCTGTGAGATTCAGATGATCTGGTAGGACCCAGGAATTTGCATTTTAACTGAACACAATGGTCTGTGGGCCATCTTTTGAGGAAAAAAAAAAAAACCTCCAAGTGGGTCTTGAAGATCAAATCCTATTAAATCTTATTACCTTCTTCTCAAAGACAAATTCTACTTTGTTCAGTATGGTGTTGGTGGGACCACACAATAGGAATTTTGTGACCTTAAGTCCCTTCCTCTTTAGTCCTCTGGTGCCTCTTTGTAAATGGAGAGGAACATTGTCATTTGGCAACTTAACCTAAGATAACTGGAAAAGCAGCTCTTACACAGAAAGAAGGATACTTTCCTTTTCCTTCATGTCCATTCACTCCCTTAAATTCTCTGCTTCTGAATCTTTTTTTAAAAATATTATTCATTTCAGGGGCACCTGGGTGGCTCAGTTGGTTAAGCGACTACCTTCGGCTCGGGTCATGATCCTGGGGTTCCAGGATCGAGTCCTGCATCGGGCTCCCTGCTCAGTGGGGAGTCTGCTTCTCCCTCTGACCCTCTTCCCTCTTGTGCTCTCTATCTCTCATTCTCTCTCTCTCAAATAAATAGAATCTTAAAAATATATATATTATTCATTTCAGAGAGAGGGAGAGAGAATGCACAGTGCGGAGGGGCAGAGGGAAAGAGAGAGAGAGAAGCAGACTCCCTGCTTAGCAGGGAGCCCGACTCTGGACTCAATCCCAGGACCCAGAGATCGTGACCTGAGCTGAAGGCAGACGCTTAACCACCTGAGCCACCCAGGTGCTCCTCCGCTTCTGAATCTTGTAGAGATCTTTTATTTTCATCTGTTACTAATGTGTTTCTTCCATCTCTGCTTATCCACATTTACCTGTTGTAGAAAGTCAGGTGGAAAAGTTACTAAAACTCCTCATGCTCCCAAATGAAAGGATCTTTGATTGCCCTAACTCCCATGTGTTCCAAAGTGTATCTCTTATTGCACTTACTGTGTGTTACTGTGTAACATACTCATACTAATGTCTACACCTCTTATCTCTTTTTATTAGACTCCCTGATTTGTCATTTACTTTTGTTCATTTGTTTAAGTAGTAAAGGAATGAACAGTTTGTTGGATTGTAATAATTCCAAAATCTAAATGTTAGCATTAATTCAATCAATATACACTTATTAAACATCTACTATTTATTCTGTAACCTGCTAGGTCCTGTATATGAAGATAAAATGTCTAAATAATTGACTCTGTCTTTGGCTTTTATTTGGTTGGGTGGATATATTTTTGGCATGTTTAGTTAAATTGCTTGTTAAATGTTTGCCCTAGAAATAAATGATCCCAAACATACTTTTAAAACCGTGTAGACCTATTTCATCAGGGAGTATACATTTGAAGTCTATGTACTATAGAGAGATATTAAATTACTTTTCTTTTTAACACCTTGAATTATTCTTTCTTTTTAAATAAATGTGTATACATACACAACTAACCCTGCATAGGCATTTGGGCAGAGTTTTTAAAATTAAAAGATAAAACTATACAAAGTTGAAATGATTTGCCTCTCTTCTGTCTGTTCCTCCCATTTCAGATGATGGAAAATTGTCCTTTGAAGAATTCAAAGCATATTTTGCAGATGGTGTTCTGAGTGGAGAAGAATTACATGAGCTCTTCCATACCATTGATACACATAATACCAAGTAAGAAAATTTTTCTACCATTGGATTCTGTAAATGATATAGAGAAGGTGTGACCAAGCACATACTGATGAAGGAGAGAATGAGGAAATATGCAAAGGGCACATTTTGTAATGTTTAATTCTGTATGGTTAATTTTGAGATACCCCCTCTTTAGTAATTGAAATACTCTGAAAAACTGAGTATTGACTTGCAAAACAGTGATCTTCTCTGAGGGAGCCCTCTTAAGGTAGCTTTAGAGTGTGCAGAATGTAAAACAAAAGCAAAAATTATAAATAATTCTAATTCTATCATTAGTAAGAAAATAGAATTTTACCTTGTTTCTTAGGTCTCTTCTCTGTTTGCTTCATCTAAAAATTGTCCTTAAGCCATTCTTATATTAGTGCAGTGCAATGCGGAGCTGCAGTGATTATCTGGAAAATTCAGATGTACTTAACTCCAAATCACTGTTACGTGAGACATGCAAGTAATTCAGGACACAGAATTTTTTTCTGAGTAATCAATGAGTACAGTGATCTATTTTATGTATTTTACATATATAGGTCTTTCCTTTGCATTAGCATAGCATTAATAAAGTCTCTGTTTATATTCTTACTATACTTAAAACTATAAAATGATGAGCAATTTACTTATAGAACAAAAGAAATGTGCTATTTGATTTGGGTAATTGAACCAAATCACATTATTTGTGACAGTCGTGATTACAGAATTCTACTGTGGAAAATGCATCCTTTCAGTCATGCCATGAGACCCATCAGCGTGTCTGCTACTTGAACAATCACTGTCTTGCTTTAGGCAAAGTGTTGACATGGTTCTAGGCAGTGAGCCAGCTTGCCAAGAAAATGCTCTTGGGCTACATCTAAGCACAGACTTTTTTTGCGGCGAGCTAATAAGAAAAAAGATTAAATTCATTTTCCTCAAGCAGCTGCAAATTTGTTATATAATCAGTTTGTAAATTTCTTGACTTCCGTTGGAATTTCAAATTCCCTATGAAATTGCTTAAGTTTTTTGTTGTCAGAAATAGTGTGAGCTGATAACTGTGTCAGAAGTTCCATTCTGTTCAACAACTCTTAAGACCCCCTGGGTATTGGTGGTACAACATGGAACCAGCTTATAATTTATGGAACAGTAGACCCACTAACTGATGACTTCTATATAATATCGTAGATACTGTGCCTGAGGTATGTACGCAACCCTTTGGAATAACACAGTGGAGCAGGGAGTTTTAGTCTAGTTTGGTGGGCTCCAGGAATTTTCCAAGGATTAGGTAGCCAGGAGCTGAGTCTTTACGGGAGAGCAGAAACTGGTTAGGTAAAGAAGGGGATGAGGGGATATATATTCCAACTAGAGGAAAAATGCATAAGTAAAGACCTGGAAGTATATGCTGGATGGGAGTGACAAGTATTTTCGTGTTACCAAAGTGTCAGTTGTAAGGCTGAGAGCAGGAGGAGAAAAATCTGGAAAGGGAAGAATGGCCCAGACAAGAAGGAATTGGCACTCTGAGAAGGAAAAGTGTTTCAGATTTAATCTGCGGGCCAGGAGATGCTCTTAAAGCTCTTAAGCCATGGGGAAACATCTTTGTAGGTCATTGTGGCACCACTGAAGGACAGAGCTAATGGGGTAATGGTGGAGAAAGACCACAGATATTAGCTGCATTCTTAAATGACTGCTGGGGAATAATGTTCATGCATGGAAGAAAGGAAGCCATGTGAACCATTCTGAGAAATGATATCTAAGTGAAAAAAAGAGCAGAGGCTCCTTTTGTGGCTCAGATGTGGGAAGCTGAGATGCAAAGACTTCATTATGTATGCTGATTATTTCTTCATTACAGTGATTATTAGAGTTTTAACAATATCCAGGTTTGGAACAATTATTAAGAGTCATAGTTGCAAAATTAGGTGTCACAGAAATTTTTCAAAACACATTTACTCCTGTTAGTGAAAAATAAAGTTTTCAATAGACCTTTTTGGCCTGGTTTTGTTATTTTATTTATACATTTATTAGTTGAAATTACTTGACATAGCATTAAGATTACATTAAATGCTAAAGAAGTCTATGCAATGATTTATACCATAAGTCCAAAGGAGTGATGGTTTCTACCAGTTACTTTCACATATGCATGAGTAAAAGCACTTAAGTGTTTTCTGGTAACTGTTTTCTGATAATGGTGTTCAACCTAATTTGGAGCTAAAATATATTACAGGCTTCTGAATTGTATTAATGAAATTCCTTTTTTAAAAAAAAAAGAAAGTATGTCAGTGTCAGGCTTTGATCTTTTAGGGAGATTAATTCAAACATTGACACAGAAATTTCAAAGCTATACTTCAAGCAGGTGATAACTTTTGTCTTTGCAGGATCCAAGTTTTAATTATTTTAGTGATTGTACTATATATGCCATATATTTTTCCCCTTACACATAACTTCTAAGAAAATATGTTCTCATGTGCTGAGCGTTGCCAACCATTCAAATTTGCTCAAGGGTACATCCTGGCCTGAAGGTTCCAATTTATACATAGGCTAGACCATGTCCTGCAGACTCATTGTCTCATGTTTATGGTGAACCATGAGATACAAATACCATGAATGTCTGCTGCTGAGGCCCCTAGGGCTGCCTGGTTCCTGCCCCTCCTGATACCTGTTGGTTTAACTTCCTCTTGGAATCCATTAAATCACTATCCACTTACCGCACTGCATTTTCTTGAGCTTGTTTGAGTAAGATTCTGTTCCATGCAAAAGTGTATTCTAAGTATTAGCTCCTTCCTGCCATCTATGGAAATCCATCTTTATGCTATAAACACTATATTCGCTGTGTTTAAAGAGTGACATATCCACTCTGAAAATATTTAGAAAGAAGGAAAATATTGAGAACCTATCTTGCTAGCTAAACTCTCCCCTTTTTTCTCATGAAGAATATTCTGGAAATATGCTCAATCATGGAAAGCAAATATTATTTAGAAATGTAAATAATTAAGGTATTTTAAATGCCAAAATTAAGTAAATTATTCCTTATAAAAGGACATCAAAAAACCCATCAGGTAAACCTCCAGGTTTTCAGAGACCATGTTTTTATAGGTAGCTTGTAAATGAACAAACTATAAACGTAGAGCTGTGCAATGATCAAAATAAGTTTTAACAAGTTAAATATATATATATATTGCTCTGTCCGCACACATTTAGGTAGCAGTTGTAATTTCCAAATCCAACTCTTCTGTTTTTTTTCCTTTCCTTTTTGTTCATTCATTTCTTTTCTCATTGATTTTAAAAAATCAGTGTGTTCATTTAAGAAATTATGTTTAGAGGATTCCACTGCAGCTTTTAGTAATACCCTGCAGCCACTTGGACCTTTTCAGTCAGATTTCCTCTCCTGGATGCAAGTAAACTATAACCAACAAATACAAGAACAGACCTGAAGACATGCATCTTCATAAGAACTTACACATTTGAGATGCTGCAAAGATTTCTATACATGAATATTACCAAGATAGGAACTATTTATGGGTCTGAATCATAGAGAAATTTTTTTAGTGTATTTCAAAATGAGACCATCAACCATACGTCCCTCCACGTTAAGGGAGGTGTCTAAGGAGTTGTGGTCACCTTTCCAGCCTGCACAGGTATAAGCTTAAGCTCCAGATTTGGTATAATCTCCTTCTGACGAGAATTCCATGAATCATCCTAATTTTTTATTAGAATTTTAAGATAATGAATGTTTTGCCAGAAATTATATTCAGGCCTAATGTACATGGCCTAAAGATTTCACTCAGAGCAAGGACTAGAAATGAAAACAACCTGAATGAAAGTAGGAGAAATCTGAAGGCATCAGAAGTCTGAATTTCCATCACCTTTATCCAAAACTAATTTTAACATTGGTAGCTCTTTTCCATTATGTTTGGATATTCTGAATTTTTCATGAGTTTTTTTCTTGAATAGTGTAGTTGGTCGAGTGTGGAACAAAAAGCCAGCTTGTTCCTGTGGATGATACTTGGGATATATAGCATAGCAAAGAAAAAGAAGCTCAAAATGTAAGTTTTTGTCAACAGGGCAAAATATTGTTGAAATTTTTAATGTTCTCAAACTTAAGGGAAGTGAACACAACCTAATAGTCCACAACATTCTGAAAATGCCATGTCGACCTTATTAAGCCTGTCATGATTTCACAGACTTTTGTCAAATCTCATTTTAACTGTCTACTGTCTGGGTCAAATATGCCTGATCTTTTTTCTTCTTAAAAAATTATTAATTTCTCAGTTATTTGAATTAGCCTTGGTACATCTTTTCCAGCTCCATTAAACGATTTGGACACACACTTTTCTCAAATTTTGTATAAGTTACTGTCTAAAAAAGAATACACAAAGCCCTTAACATTTAAGTTTGGCAGAGTTTAGCACAAACTAAATCTACAGCTTTGATAGCTTAAAATTGAAACCACCACATCAGAGAGCAGGAATAGACAGAAGGAAGAGCATTAGGTCAGGAGGAAACTTCCATAGTTCATCGAAAGTGCTCTTACTCATCAGAAAACCAGCTTGTCTACATTTTTCAGTCAGTCAGAGGACCACATGAATAAATTAACATAATTCCCTGCGGTGTTAACCATAGCACAGGCGGGGGAAAGATCCCCTAGAGACCAAAAATGATTCTTCCAGCATACTGCACTTTGGAGGTCCAGATTGTTAAGATAGACGGAATGGTAGAGCAGATGGGAGTGTTGCTCTCAGGTCAGAGAGTGAACACATAGAAAAGCTTCCCAGGGCCTGCAGATGGGAATGGGGCGAGGGTTTAACTAGAGATGCACAACTGTTGTCTTCAGGTCGAGTGTTCCTCATTCTAGGCTAAAATAATTTTTTCAGTGCCGATTGCTGGGATTTCACCCAATACTTGTTAAATCACTGAAGCACACCAAAGTGACAGAAATATCACCACCTACTAAAAGAGCATAGTCCATCTTGAGCTAGCTCTAAAAGCTTAAAAATCTCTTTCCTAAACTGAAAATTTCTCTCTCA